CAGCAATCATCACCCAGATAAGCAGAGATTAACACCAAGATTATCACCAGGCATACAATCAGCAGTAAACAACACCCTAATCAAGAAACTACCAGAGGGAAAAAATAAAACAAAGCAAAACCCACACCTCCACCAACACTGGCAGGGCATGCCACTGTATATAAATAGAGAGGAAACCCCACTCCCTTCTAGCACTGAAGATGTTACCTAGCCGGGTAACGAAATGTCTGCAAGAGGACAGCCAAGCTCAGAGAACCCCAAGCACTCCACATTCCAATTAAAAAAAAAAAATCCTTAAACTTATCTTTAAAACTTCTTTTGCTAAGGATTAAAGGAAACTCACCCAGTGCGTGTTACAAAACTTGTCGATTGAAAAAGGTTCTTAATAGTTGAAAAGTAGTTAAAAAGCAATTTCCAAAAGTGATTAAGAAATGAGGCTTGGCAGTACTTTGTGTCTATAAGGCCACACTGAGGCTTTGTCAGCCTTGCCAGGTAGACTGGACAGGAAACGCAACCAGGTGAGCTAATTCTACTTCATTGTAAGGCTACATTGATAGAATCTTGCAAGTCTGAAAGTACAACTCTCCCCCCATCTCCTTTACAACTAGGGAGAGTCCCTTCTGAGCCTCTTGCCCTGTCCATTATCCAGCTGTGGGCTATGCTCCCTCTTATCTGTCCGTTCCCTAGGCAGCATCACTTCCCCCCCCCCCCCCCCCCCCCCCCCCGTCTCCCAGGTCCCACATGCCATTACAGGCTATGAGCTTGGTTGCAATCCCTCGACTCCCAGCTGCTCAACTCATCAGCTAACTGCAGAAACCTCAGCTCCTGCAGTTTATTCACAAGGAGCAGCTGTCTGGAGTACATGTGGACAATCTCACAATCCCTCCTTTATCCGGAGAGACTTGGCCAGTCGGAAATCACTCTCTGGCCACCGATCTCGCCGCAATGCCGTCTCTGCTCCTTCAGAGACATCTAGTTCACCATGAATCCTCACCAGAAGTGCATGTAATTGTAATCTTTCATAAAATTACTATTAAGGAAAAAAAAAGAGCGGCAGACTGCTCAGTTACTGATATGTGTTAGTTTGACCCATCTCTAGCAGAGTGATTTTTGCAATGGGTTTGATTTTTGGTAACTGACTGGTCTCTAATGGTTGTTGATTAGCTCTTTCCTCTGCTCTTTTTCACCCTTTTCATAGAGGGTGGGGACGTCTATTTTCCATAAACCTTGGAGCATCACTAGGTGGTAATTAATTAGGATGCTAACCATTAGAGGGTTCTCCTCCTTTTGCAAGGCGATTTGGTGCAAAGGTATCCACTGGAGGTGGGGAGAAAATAAAAGGTCCAGATAGCAACTACGACCGTGGAACTGGAGCCACCATCTTGACTTTTTGATACCCCCCCGCCCTCCCACAGATGCTCCTGTTTCAGGGTTTCAAT